TTTCAAATCACATTTTCAAATAACTTTTTCAATTAACTTTTTCAATTAACTTTTTTAAATTACTTTTTTAAATAACTAATTATTTTTTCAATTAACCTTTTAAATAACTTTGTCAAATAAATGTATCAAATAAATTCTTCAAATAACTTTTTCAAATAACTCTTTGGGGGCGTCCATTAATTACGTGAGGTATTTTTGAGGATTTTTTGACTCCCCCTCCCCCTTGGCGAGATTTGGTAAGATTTTCCTTAACTCCCTCCCCCCCTTCCCTAATCTCACGTGAGATTTTTCAAAATTCGTGTTTTGGGTATAAATGTGTTGGATTATTAAAAAAAAACAGTAGAGGTGTGTAATGTGACACTTCCCAACCTTCAATGACGTTAGTAATGACAACATTACATATATGGTTGTAAATAGACATAATTATAAGATTTTTCCATATTTTATTCTAGAAATATTTTATTCTAGAAATTTAATTTGGAGTGAGGGTAGCCATATGTGAGTAGTAGGGATTAAGTGTAAAGGTTAAAGAAAAGATCCTTTATTTCTCACAAGTCTTGTGAGAAATAAAGGACCTTTTCTTTAACCTTTACACTTAAACTATAATTTAACTTTACTTTCACGCAATTTTACACCGTTTTCTACTAGAAAAAAAATTACGTGAGATTTACGAAAACCCCCCCTCCCCCCTAAGTGAGATTTAGAAAGATTTAGTTTTATCCCCTCCCCCCCTTGAACACCTCACGTAATTAATGGACGCCCCCTTTCAAATAACTTTTTCAAATAAATGTATCAAATAAATTCATCAAATAAATTCTTCAAATAACTTTCAAATAACTCTTTCAAATAACTTTTTCAAATACCTTTTTTAAATAACTTTTTCAAATAACTTAGCAATTAGCATTTTTTAATTTTGTAACATAATTGTGATTTTTTTATTTTTATTTTAATTACTCGATTAAAAAAAGTATCAATTTAGGAATCACCCTCCGAGTATTATTCTAAAACTCTTGATCAACTTTTCGTTGTTCCAAAGAATATTTTATCTCTATATCCCAATTTGCTTCTTTGATTCTATTAGTAATATGGATATCCAATTACTAGTGAGTGCTTCCAAGGAACCATCGCCATCATCTTAAGTTATTTGTTTGTGTTACAACGCACATCTATACATGGTGTCTCCAAATGATATAGAAATTGGTTTAAGATTAAATGTTCTAAACGTAAAATTAAAAATGTAACTAACCATAACATGAATAAATAAAATTTATTCGAAATTTTGTTTATTTTCGAATACAAAATTATTAAAAATTCGCACCGAAAGGGCTTCTGAAACTGCAAAGTTGAATCATAGCAGAATAAGCTGGTGCCTTGGAAACACAAATTCAAAACAGTACCGATGAATGTTATAGAAGACTCGTATTTATTCTTGATTTTTTTAATTAATCATCACACAACGTATTAGAATAATGTTGAGATATTTCCCTAAGGGTTCTCTACAACAAGGAGCCTCCAAAAAGTGTTATAACTTAAGTTTTTCACTATTTTTTTTTTGATTTGGAAGACCATTAAATAATATTAAAAATTCTTAATGGTAAAGTATTTTATAGTAACAACATAATGATTCAAAAGTCTTAGATAAAAACATTTTAGTTAACATAATAGCGCATCCACCTTAAATTTAAAGAAAGTGCTATATGCATAATTCTTGCTATTTCCTAGCTAGGTAGATTACGTCTAAATTCTCGGTGGTTTAGGTATTTTATTTGTTGATTTAATTAACAATTTTTTATTATATATAAGTAATCATTTTGTTACTATATTATTGAGGTAAATTTATTCGTGATGGGCCACTCTATATGTTCCGTAAATATTTTCGGCGTTTCTTTTTGTACATACGTATACTGAATCTTGAAAAAGGGTTTTGTTTATTGATGTTTCCACGGATATTCTGAAAGCTTAAATATATATTGCATGAAATCTGTGGGAGAGCAGCTTACGTGGAAGTAACAAAACAAATTCCGTTTTTATGTATAAACACATCAGTTTTAGGCAGGGAAGAAAAAGAATGTAATGCTAAAGTATTTTTGTGAAAAAAGGTTGTTCTACATTTTGAGGATACATTGTTTTATAACAATGACTTACTTAATTATTTTTTATAACTTAATTAAATTATCAGTAATGAGCAATATCCAAAGGATGGTAATAAATTTCTTGATAGTTTCGGCCTTTACTTGATGAAAATCCATATTATTAAACTGAAAAAAACCAAACATAATAGATTTCAAATTTTTAATTAAAAAAAAATTAAAATTAAAAATTACACAATTGTTTGGAAGTACAACTTCTTCTTCAAATGTGACTAATTTGTTAATGTTATAAGGATGCTACCATAATTTTCTCTGATTCAGAACAAACTTTAATAGAAAAAGAGTTTAAACACATCATCCCATCTAAGATTAGTACTTCAAACGTAGGAATTTTAGGAATAGAAACAGAAATCGCTTTAAAAGATTCATATAACACTTTGTCTCACAAATATCATACTACAAGCATAATAAACACAATTTTTACACAATAATAATTCAAAACAAGATAGTAATCTAATTAAAACTATACAGGACAAATCAAAACAGAATGATATCATTTTCACTCGTACTGTTAAGGGAAATATAGTAAATGCTATTAATAATATATTATTTTGACAAAACTCTTTCTTTTCTACACGCTAGCAACAATTACATTATACACGGAAAAAAAATTGTAGAACAAATTTCTACAATTATAGATTTTTTCTCTACAATAAATAGTACATATAGGGACAGGGACAATTTGTAGTAAAAATTTCCAAATATTTGTGTAGAATGTATTGTAGAGTTATTATCTACAATACTTAGTAAAAATATCCAAATGCATCATAAGAATTGTTCTACAAATTGTTATAATTTTTGCTATTCATTGTATGAATTTATATTAAAAATGTATTGCGTTTTATGAAAATAAATACGAAAATTTTACACAATAAATAGTAAAAATTCATACAAATTGTAGTAATTTTTAATAAAACTTGTAGTAGTATTCCATAATTATTATAATTATAACCTAGAAAAAAATGTTCCTTAATAAAATATTCAATTTATTGTTTTAATATAAAAGATACAAAGTCTTAATTACATTATGTAATAAATAACAGTAATAATAGCACCCTCAGTCTCAGTTGAAATAAAAATTAATAACAATTGAACTGTTCATACCCTTAAAACGGGGATATTTATCACCTTTACACTGATTTGGATATTAAATGACTAAGTCAGATAACTAACAAAAATGAGAAAGTAGGTATGTCACAATCACAATCGTTGGGCACAACATTCGATCGTTGGCCACAACTATTTTTTTTTAAATAATCTACTAAGGTTATTTAAATTAGTTATCTAAAGGTAAATTATTCAGAAACAATAAATGTACTTACCACCAATAGAATTTATTATTAAAATTTTCTCAAACGCATCGGTGCTTATAATATAATAATATGTTATAGGTACTCGTATATGTACCATGCTTTGTTATGTGAACATGGAGAACGGCTACTGCTGTCTGGCCATTTATGATCGACGTCAGAAAACGTTGGCCAATAGCAGAATTCTGTTTTGTTCACATGACTTAGAATTTCTACAATATTATAGAATATTTTTGAACAAAATTGAATAATTTTCATAAGAAGGGATGTAAATTATTACTATTTTTTGTAGAGAACATTACTATTTTTTGTAGAGATAATTATTAATATTTGTACAAATTTTTTCAGAAGTTAGTAGTAGTAATTACGATAATTGTAATAAATTTCTACTTCTACAAACAATAGTAAAATATACTAAACATTGTGGAATTCTTTCCTATTGTTGTAGCATTTTATTCGACAATTCAATTGCTACAATAATGAATAGTTTTTAACTATAAATTGTAGTAAAATTTTCTACAAATTGTTAAGTATTTTTCTACAAGTCTACTACTACAACATTGTAGTAAAATTTTCTAGTCACATTTTTTTCCGTGTAGGTACTTAAATTTGATTCAACAGAAATATTTCAAAAAGAACTAAAATGTTATATTCAGAATTCAACAGCAGTAATTGTTTCTATGGAAAAATTCAAAATAATACAAAGGAACCCCCAACCATCACAACTTTATTCTTTATTTAAATTACACAAATATAACTGGGTGGCTAGCAAGTTTGAAAAAATAAATTGAAACGTTTTGGTAAATTGAATGTGAGATAAACATTATTTCTGTTTTTTTAATTTGATGTCGCATATTTTTTTCATTACCGTCCTCATACCTAAACAATGTTAAAATAAATATTTAGTGAACAAAACGGGTGAAAATTCTAGTACATATTATCGAAGACATATGTTTCTGTTTCCGGATAAATCTGTTTGAGACACAAAGTGCTTCTAAATGCATTTTAATCGATTTTTCGTATATATTTGAAATAAATCGAAAATCGCTGGTTGTTTTTGTTTTATACGGGAGGTAAATGCAATATATAGTTATATTTTATTTACGTTTGTACTTAAGGGTTCTTAAACTACACTTTAAGTCTAAACTGGTGAGATTTTCAAATTCACTCTTTAGTTTCTTTCATATTTTAAATGTAAGGACGGTGATGATATTAGGTGGACAGTCATGATACAAATTGGACGGTACTGAGATGATTTAAAAAGAAAAGGTTTCAACGAACAAATGTATAGTGTAGTCATAAACTTAGGTATAATAAAAACAAAAACATATAACAGTGGTATTCTGTAGAAATAGATATACAAATAAACTAAGTCACAAAAAGCACAACAAATTCTGTTAGCTTCAACTTCCTTTGGTATATGTATTTTTTCGTTAAGAAAAATAAAAAACTCTAATGTGAAGACGATAACTGGCAAGCCGGAAGCTAAAAAACTTTTAAAAAGGATACTTTGTGTAGTGAACGCATATTTGGAACCATTTCAGTTGAGAGAAAATCGGCGGAGAAATAATGTGTCACAGGATAATTCTCTAAGACAAATCGATTCTTCATTTAAATGTGTCCAGATAATCTGGTGCAGCTTCATATTTCCTGGGACTGGTTTTAAAGTTTCAGGCAAAGTCATTTTAATTTTGACAATATCTTCTTCTTCAATTCGAAATAACTTTACTTTAATCTCTGACACGGCCTTAACAAACGAAGCAACATCAGTAATGTCTATCCCGCCAGCTACTTTAGCATTACAACTTCTTTTTAGAACTCCTACAATTCCGTCTGCTGCCCCTTTGCCATGTCCTGCTTTCGAAAAATTCCAAAACACGTTAGAAAATCCGTATTTTTTACAAAATTGTGCAAATAGAAAGTTGGATTTATTCCGGTATTTGGGTGGTTGGCCCATCACTATAAAAGTGTAATGTGTTAAACAATGGAAAATTTTCCTTTATCATGACTATAATAGGAGACAAATGGACCCAAATTGCACTGGGGTCATGTCGCATGGATGCTGATATTGTACAGAAACCAATAGTATTACTCTCATCATTCTCATCATTTCGGGCTGTATAGAGTACCCCAGTATGCAACGTGAGTTAAGCTTTGGATGCACCGAAATGAACTGACTGCACTTCCTGGCTGTCTTTGCATAAATATTTTTCACTAAAATCGATTAGGATAACAACTCCGTTTGGTTTTCTTTGTTTGAAACTATTTTGCTGATGCATAATGTTATAAGGATGCTTACAGAACTCTGACAACTATTAAATTTACTGACGATTGAACTTTTATTTTGCTGGTTATTTTGACTTTTATACTTTGTTTATTTTTCCATGCGATCTTCTGTTTCCGTAACCCATAAGAATTTAAAATTCGCATGTTTGACTCACAAACAGATCTCCCGTCCAGTTAGTTTTTGAGGTACGACCCAAAACGGTTTCATACGGGCAAAAGAACTATAAGATAGCTTGGCAGAAGAAGAATCAGTAAATTTCTTATGAAGCTCTTTGATGTTTGCTATTAAGTACCTTTTTTGCTTCTTAGTCTGATTTCGGGTAATGCAGTCCCTTTTTCCTGTCGCTAACATCTCATCATCTTCAAAAAACTTAGTGACCAGCTTTATAAACGCGTGGACGTTTTCCTTAATTTTTCTTCTGTATCTTCTAATTCTTTGCATATGAGGACTCAGTATTCCTAATTTTCCGAATTCTGTAATTAATAAATTTGTACTTTTTATAAATTTTCTTTTCACACATCTCGAAAACGTCTGCTTTTTACCCTCAGTTTGAATAGTCTTATCTCTTATTTGTTTAGTTAATGTTGCCCCAAATAACAATTTTTTTTCTAACTTCCTCAGGATCTCCTCGTTTAAATAAGTTGTCAACTTCTTTTCTAGGAAGCGGACTGATTTTACTAGGGTTAACAGCTTGGTAATACTTTTTCTTCCATTTTTCTATGTTCTTTTTAGCCAAATATATCTTTTTTTTCAAAAGCAATACTTCTTGCCGCTTTCTTTTAGTGTTTTGCTTTTGTCTTCGCCTTCCTGCTTCCTGCCTTCTTGAACTAATTTTCTCAATTCTGCGATCAACGTTCTCTTCTAACGGCAAGGGAGAAGATGGTGGAGTATTGTCATTGATAAATTTCTCTATTCTCCTTCATGTTGTTAGTACTGTCATTTATATTTTTAGGATTTGATGAATTTTCATTGACTTTAGGTACCACACATTCTTTTTTATTTTCGTTTTGCTAAAGCCTTATTTTAATAATATTCCATCATGCTGACCAGTCGACCTTTTGAGTTCAAAGGCTTTTTCCGTTCTTTTTGTTTTAACTATAACTTCTTAGTTTCATTTATTTTTAGTGGATTATCATGTGCTTCTTCTTTCATTCTTTTAAGTTTTGGTAAGACGCACAGAGGGGCCACGTTAGATAAAACTCACCAAAAACTCTAAAACCAAAATTTAGGCAACTGATAAAAATAACCACGGTAAATCTATTCTAATAAATCCTCCTTTCCAAGTCACATTAGCCTTGGATTTTCTGTGTGATAAAACAGAAGATATAGCTTGTCAAAAATAGCGTCTTAAGTACGTATGTTGCTGTAATTTTTTTAGTGCAATTATTATTGATAAATTCGGTCTACTCTTTGTGCTATAATAATCGAAATAACTTTGATAATAATTATGCAAAATAATCGTCGTAGTAAGTAGATTTTTATTGTATAAAAAAAATGTATTGCTGTATTTTACTTTTATTCCAAGAAAGAATTTTCATGAGTTCTGCAAAAATTAACAAATTTATTCAGACCTAGGATTTCTTTTAGACAAAAAGTAGCAAATTCTGTCGTATTCAGCTTAGATTTTGGCATAGTTTCTTTTGGTAAACATTCTTATTTATACTGGCATTGCGATTAGCTGCTACTTTTTGCTTATAATGCCGTAATTTAGGCAGGCGCAAGAGAGTGATATGTTTGTAACCCTATTACTAGAACTGGCAGTCGTGCAACTTTTTTTATAATTTTTTTTTAATTCATGTTTCGTTACCCCATGCATGATCCAAGTTATTACATTTATTCGTCTAGAATATGCAGCTTATGAAAAACTCTAATTAAATCGGAATTTATCGGTACGTTGATTTTAATTTTTGTCAGATTGAAGAATATCCTTCATTAAAACAAAACCGATAATGTACATATCTTAAAGAATACATAAGAAATTTAAGTTTATAGAGTTACGTCAGTTTTTTCTGAAACCAGTAAAACCTAGCTAGATGCCAAAGGGGTCTTTACCAACTATACACAAGCTTTAGATCAATCAAAAATTGGCCGACCGTTGACTGATTTTTCATTTAGTTGAGAAAGTAATAAGCGTTAGAAAACTGCTTATTTGCACAAGAAGAATTCGGTTGAGGTTATCTGTTATGTGGCTTAAATGGAGCTCACAAAATATAGTAATGTCCAAGCCTCCAAACTATTACAATTGCCACCAGAGGAGGCACTTTCAGTTTTAGTCGAAGTGATCTTATCTCGTAATCAATATAATTTAATTAGAGAAAAGGAAATATAAAATCAAGCTTGCATGTGACCCTAATAAAATACCTAATAGTTTTTTGAGTATATTTTGCACCTTTCATATAAACTACCAGTAAAAGGTTAGAAACACTATTGATAAAGAAAAAGTCTTTAAAAAAAAAATAGAATTTAAACAGGAATTAGGATTAATAATTGATCAACCAAAACCGGTATACGGAAGTAGCAATGATGGTAATACGGCAAGTCTCCACTAAAATGACACAAATAGATGTCTTTAAAAAATTAAGTGTAATTTTGGAATTGCCTGGAAGCAGCACAATTACTTATAAATAAATATCCTTGGTATTATGTGACGCCAACAGTTCACTTAATTTTAATTCTGGTACAAAAATTATTCGTTTCGTTCTTCTTCCAGTTGACCAGCTCTCAGAAGAGGTTGCAGAAAGTAGAAACAAGGATTTTAAAAAAATTGGAGAAAGCTTCGCTAGAAAAATAGCTCGGGAGAAAACTAATGAAGATGTTTTCAAGGTGCATCTTCTCTCTTCAGATGCTGTTATTACTGGTATTAAAAAAACTCAAAATTAAAGAAAATTAATTTTTCTAGCGAAGCTTTATCCATGCTTCTACCACCGGATGTTGATGACCAAATTAGTCATATTTCTGATAGTGATTACCCTTTGGATTGTAATTTTAATTAAATTAGAACGTTAATTTAATGTTTTGATAATATTTGAAGTGTGTCCTGTAGTAAATTATTTTGCTGTGTTTTCTTTTTTTTGTCTTCAACAAATAATGTAATTTCAAAGAGGGATAATTTTGTTATAAAAGATAGTAATTTATATATCTACATATACCTAATAAGCTGTTTTACTACTTAAATTTCTTACAGCTTTTTAAGGAATAGCCTGTACCTAATTTAAAAGGTGTCAGTTATAATGATACACCCTGTATAGTGACAATAATATCTCTGTTGATATTATTTTATTACATTTATACGTTAGACATATTCCAGAATACAAAAGTATAAGCTTTAATGCTTTCCAGAATTGTTGGTAAGTTTTGATACTTCTTGCCCCTGTGTGAGACGTTTAATTTCCATTTACCATAAACGTTGTCTTCATTCATATTAACTCTGGAATTAAAATGGAACAGTTTTTTTTGCGGCGACTTATTACCGTAGATAGATTTCTCATGACCGTCTTTTGGTATATCAAACCCGCCTACCCTTTATCAGGACCGTCCACCCGTAAAAATTAGATGGTAATGATATAGACGGTAATGAGAACTCGCTAGATAAATATTTTATTATTTGGCAAAGGCGCACGATTAAAACGTATCCGCTCGTTTCTAAAGATGTTTGAGGTTATGTCACTGAATTTCGGCTTAATTTTTATTTTAAATTATTACACATCATAAATAGACCCTATGGACGGTATTGAACACCATGATGACAGAAATACTTAAATAGTACGTTTTTAAATAAAAGAATGAAGTACTCAGCTGTTTCTATTCACAAATTTATGGCACAACATATAAATAAACTAATACACACGCCACTATGGAGGGAACTGGTGATTCAGCCGCCTAACGGCAAAATAAGCTACTAAATTTGCGGGATACGGTCATGAGAATTGAATATCGGGACTAAGGTTCTTCTTTTACTGGACTGGTTTATAATAATTGTTTTACTGTTTGACACTTAACAATTGTTAGATGAATATGTTGTAAAAAATGTTCAAACAGAAAATATTTTATTTAGACCATGAAAATATAATTAAAAGTGTTCCGATATAATAGGATTTTTCGATCAAGCGCTAAGACGGTCATGAAGAAACGATAAGATAAATATAAATATTTCAAATTCTAGACAGTAGATATTTTGCGAATGTAACATTAGTTTTTTTAGAAACAAAGTACTACAAACGATCTTGTAAAAAAACCACTGTTTGTCATTAAATGAACATAAAAGTCCCAGAGACCAAGATGTTAAAACTATTTAAGAATCACCCAACTATCTTATTAGACCAGTTGTATCATTTGTCACGGCTCCATCAGTAAAACTTTCACATAAATTAATTAAACTTATATAAGAAAATTTCAAATTCCATTCAAAATAAAATATAAAAAAAATATATAAATTATGTCACATTTGAAGGAGAAGTTGTACTTCTAAACAATTAATTGTAGTGTAATTTTTTATTTTAATTATTTCTTTTTAATAAAAGTGTGAAAATCTACTTTGCTTTGTTTTTCTCATTTTGATAGTAATAATTACGAAAGCGTTGTTTCCAAAGCAACGTGAATATTTATCAGCGGCCCATGAACATTTAGTAAAAAAAAATGTTTGGTATAGGTATATTTAAACTCATTTATTA